ACTTGAGATTGGAAATCTATCTTGCAATCATCCAGATAAAATTTCAAATTCATTTAAAAAAGAAGTCTAGATAATATTATTTCATTAACAAATCAAATTATCAGCTTAATTAAACGGCTTATATAAACTCTCTAATCATTCATCGTTCAATTTGAACTCCTTTTTCAATTCCCTTCCAAAAGCAAACATGGATCAACCCTCCTCGGAAAGTCCTTTTGATTTATTACATGACGATCTCTTCATTGATGAAATCCTTTCTCGTGTAGATTCTGCGCAATCCATTCTTCGTTTAAGCATGGCCTCTAAAAGACTTCATTCACTGTGTTCTTACCCTTCTGTTCTAGATTTCGAAGAGGTCCCAGACAACGTCGGATTCATCAAACACCTCGACAAGTTCTTCGAGTTTCGTATGAATAATAAGTCGAACATCAAACATGAGTTTCGAAGGCTTCAGATATGCTTACCAGAGAAAATGAATAATCTTCCAATATTGGATTTTGTGACCCTTCATCTGCTGGGTTGGTTTCACAAAGCCTTGTCTTTGAATGTTCAAGAGCTGATCTTGGAGTTCGCTGGGGAACCATTAAGCTCTGATTGTTACCATGAAAGGCCTGAACTGAGTCTGCAATATTCTATCCCTTTGGAGCATCTTAGGGTTTTAAGACTTGAAGATATCCCCATCGCTTTAAACGACAGTTTTGAAGATTGGATTTCGACAACCTGTGTGAATTTAGAAGAACTGAACCTTTCTGATGTTTTAGTTCTTCCAACTAAACTCAGAGTCACAAGCTCATCTCTTAGGGTTTTTGTCATTGAAGGTGACTTTAAGGAACTTCATGTCGTTTCTGCACCAAAACTTGTTGACTTACGGGTGACATGGAATCTTATTAATCTTAACAGAGTCGAATCACATCCGTTCATTAAGATTTCAGATACTCCAAATCTTCAAAGTTTTGTGTTGGAGAACTTGGACACATCATATGATTCTTTGAGATATGGTTCTTCTGGAGATATCCAGTTTCCTTCTCTTAAATGTGCGTTTGTGTTACTTCCTGCTGAACCACCTCTTATTTCTCAGTCTTCCTTGGAAAGGCTCCTTCTTGATATTAGCCAGACGAGAATATTACATCTATCTGATGCCATTCTTCACCAGGTACATACTTAAATTTATGCACACATGTACTCAAATATGAATTTTTTAATTTATAATTTACAAATGACAAATTTTTTTTAATAAAAGACAATGGTTAGAATATTATCTTTATTTTAGATTGGGTTAATACAAACTTTGATCCGTCAAATATGTCTTCATTTTAGTTTTGGTCCCTTAAGTTTTAAATCATAAGCTTTGATCCCTTAAATTTCTTTTCATTTAAAACATGGATCCCTATATCCCTTAAATTTCTTTTGATTTAAAATATGGGTCCCTTTAATCCAATAAAAACTTGGATCATTTTGCCTCTAGATGGACTAAAACTTGTGGTTTGAAACTTAAGGGACCAAACTCAAAATGAGGGCAAACTGGAGGGACCAAAGATTATATTAACCCTATTAGATTTTATAATATTAAAATAAAAGTTTAATAAAATTAAAATTGCACAGTCCACATATTTTGTATTCATCGTTTGGCCATGGCCCATGAGCATGAGAACTCAATACACAGGCGCATCGGGGAGGGGGTGTTAAATTATCTAAATAAAAGAAAAATATACATAAGGATTAATTATGTGCAAATTTAAAAAAATAAAATAGATAAATAGTTTAAATTTAAAATAAGTATTTCAATAAAATGTTAAAAAATAAATTTTCTATAATTTTTTTGAAGTATTTCATTGTGAAGAAATAATATAATGCATCATACTATGTATATCATGTTATTTGTGTAGTGTGTATTATATGCATGTGATATGAGTACATTTACTTTCTCATATAGCTATGCAAACTATATATATGGAGTAATAATTATATAAATTTGATGAATTTTAATAATATTTGTTTTTGCAGATTTCACAGGGAAGAGGAATAATACATTATGCAAGTCTATTTCGTAAGTTACACAAATTCCACGTACGTATTGAAGGAGATAAGTGGTGGGAGAAAGCCGATACGATTATGTCTTTCGTGAAAAATGTTCCTTCTTTGAAGATCTTCAAATTAACTATTGCAAGCGATGATTACGATCTTCAAATTCCCCAGGAATGGCTTCAAAATGCTTTGTATTTGAATGTTCTGGAGCTGGATTTACAGTGCAAGGACTATGAAAATATGGATAATTACCATAATCACCTTAATGTACCCGAACTGAAGCTCCATTATCATAGCTCTCTGGAGCATCTTAGGGTTTTAACGCTTAAGGATATCCCTATCGCTTTGAACCATAGTTTTGAAAAGTGGGTTTCGACTTGCTGCGTTAATTTGCAAGAACTGAATCTTTCTGGTGTTTTGGTGCTTCCAACTAATCTCAGAATCACAAGCTCGTCTCTTAGGGTTTTCACCATTGATGCTCACTTCACGAACCTTCATGTTTCTGCACCCGAACTTGTTTCCTTACATGTGACATGGAATCTTGTTTGTCATGGGACCGATGAAACAAGCCTGTCTCTTAAGGTTTCAGATTCTCCAAATCTTGAAGATTTCTTGTTGTCGAGTTGGAACAGGAAACTTCCTTTGGAATATTATAATTGTTGTGGCGACAAGAACAATTTTCCTTCTCTTCAATCTGCGACTGTGCTAATTCCTGATATTGCCAATACTATCTCTCTTGATTCCTTCAAAAGGCTCCTTCTTGATGTCAGTCGAACCAGAAAACTATATGTATCTGACGCCATTCTTCACAAGGTACGTAAATTTAGATATCATACAGACTCATTAAATGGAATGATTTAGATTAAATCAATTTTATTTTATTTTTATGTTTATTTATAATTTTTATTTCAATAGATGTAGAATTTCAAATAAAATTAATTAATTAACTGTCAGCTTGGAAAAAGAAATGAATTCATTATTAAAACCTTAAATTTGGACTATATTTCAATAAAAAAAAAACTAAGAATATAATTTTATGACACGCTATATGTGCATATGGGATGTCTACGTCTTTTTTTTCCTACAACATGATTATTAATACAATAGTTATACACATATTTTGCTGATTATATATTATTGTCATTTTTTCTCTTGCAGATTTCATGTAGTGGAATAATAGATTCATTAAATTCAATTCACACGTTAGAGGAATTGCGGGTGCGTGTTGAAGTAAACAAAAGATCCGGGTGTTGGGAGAATGCTCATCAAACAATGATGTCTTTTGTGAAAAAGGTTCCTTCGTTGAAGACCTTCGAATTAACCATAAAGAATCAAAACCGTGATCCTCTTGTTTCTAAAACGGTAAGTTTACCGTTACATTTTGTTTTAAAAATTAATATAAGCTAGAGGTTAAATTTTTTTTTTCCGTCTAAACAAAACTGCCCCCAATTATATATTGTCTCCGATTCCCAATATAAGAGTTTGTTAGAAATTGAATTTTATTTTAAATATAATATTTTAATCTATTTTATCTGATATACTGTCATTTTTTTCCCCAAACTTATAAGCTATTGTGTAATCTAACTAGAAACTTCTCCTCTTTCACGTGGTGATATATTTGGTCACATTTGAAATTTCATTAAACTGCATTATTTTAGGCATTAATGTTAGGATATTAATATTCTAATTAATAGATACTATTACTTATTTAATTTTCAGTCATTCTCTCTCTTGTAATAATTGACCACTTTAATGGTTTTGAAAATATTCTTAACCCAATATTACGCATTTCTAAGGGACCAGGGTATTACAAAATTTTAAGCATAAAGTTGATGATGATTGATGATTGATTGATGTTGCATAGGATTATTTTGTAAAGGTTATGTTATATTTGTTATATTTAACTAATTAACCTCATTTTCTTAATATATTCAAATTAATTAAGTAGCACTAATATTAAGCATTGGAAAGAGTATTTTTTTGTCTAAAGTTTTTATTCTTAAGTTTCCATAAAACTACCCATGACATCTGTTTTGTATCTACACATAACCAGAGATATCTAGGGGAGATATTTGCATTATTTCCGCAACACTTGAAGCCTATAAGATTCATTCTCTGTTTTTAAATTAATAATAACGTGGCTTATGCAGAAATTTTAAGAATAAAAGATAAGTGTCTTATTTTTTTTTATTTTTGGTGATGAAGTGTCTGTAATTTTAACAATACTCAATAATGTATGAACTGACATGATTTGATTGATATTTTGTATATTGCAGTTCAGGGAGTCATTGATTGACAATATTTTCAAGCTTGGATTTTCAAGATCAGCTATATATTTAGATGATAACAAAGTGAAGGTGGTTGTTGGTCCTGGAGATGATGAGACTTTGCTCCTTGAACATATTATCAAGAATGCCCCACGAGACTTCAATTTCATCTTCTTATATCAACGCTAATTCATCAATCATTACATTTTTTTTTTTGTAGGAAACTGATAATTTATAAATAGTGATAAGATTTTATGAGTATAGTTTGCCTAAGTCAAATTTGAGCATTGTATTTGTATTAGTTATTGGTTTTTTTAAGGTTAGTGTCCAATTTGTCCCTGCAAATTCTTGCTCAGAAACTGTGAACATCCGAAAGTTTTAAGACCAATATTATCTAGAAAGTGTTAAAAACGGAAGAATATCGCCCTGCTAATGTGTGGCATTCAATGATCCAACTCCATCACACCTCAGCTTCTTTATTCCTTCCCCTTCTCTTTCATTATTCCTTTATTGTTCTGCTCCAACTCATCACCACAATCCTCAGCCTTTTTTATTTTTGTCATTTATAGTCATAATGATAATATGACTACATGTGAATCTACACATTGTGTAGACACTATATCATTTATGACTCATGTTTTGGCTTCCTATGGCTTACATAGTTTGCCGCGGATTATTTATGATCAAAGTTGTGTAGAAAACCTGTGATAAATTACAAAAGGTAAATGCAACTTTGGAGGGTTTCGACAGTAACTGATGAGGAATCAATCAAAATACAGTAAATTAGCATCTCAAGCACTGAATATAGATTCCATAAATTTTACAATGCAAGCCCTACAAATTTGTCAGCTACCACTCACAAAGGCAAACCCAAAAAAAATGCCTTGGTGTTTGGTGAAGGAGAATAATGACACAGAGATTCTGTCCAACTCCAAGAAGCCAGGCATGAATGTTCCATCATAAGAAGCCATGTTTTGCTGATGCACACTTATAATACAAGCTAGGAAAACTTGAGTAATTACAGAAGAGGAGAAAAAATTTTCTGAAGTTCATCACGACCAAGATGGCAATCTATCGTCTGCTGCTCTAGATCTATCGTTTGGCCCAGCAAGAGTAATCTGCCATTATTAATCCATTTATAGTTCAGCAATGCAGACCAAGAAAATAGGAATAGAGAAGAAAAGAACTTTGTACATGTACAACATATTGAATACAAGTTTAAATAAATATAGTGGAAATCCAAGCTCAAGCATTCTTCAGGACAAATTGGTAGCCACACAGTTTTCTGTGAGTGTACTAATTAAACTTTCGAGTTCAGCTTATATACACCATGCACAAACTGGGCTAAATTTGATGTTTCAACAAGTCAGACAAGAATAGTTCACAAACAACTTATATTTGATTAAAAAATTCCAGTGATAAATGTTTAAATTTTGACAAATCTCAGTTTGAACATAAAAACTTGCTTTGGAGTTCAGAAGGACATACATTGCAGTCAAATGCAAACCTCCTGGCAAGCATAAGAGCCGCATTCCTGTCACGCTCTGTTTCAAATGCTAATATGAAAGAAAGCCCTTCTTTTGCTTGCCAAAATACCGCCTGGGCTGCAGCATTCCCGCCTCCTCTAACTCCACATAGCTAAACCAAAAGGGAAATATCAAGTCAGCTTCCCTCACAGGCTTTAACTAAGGACAAAGAGATCTCATACCACCGGAAAGAGAGATTTGTTCAACAAGGTTAAAACAATGTTTACTGCACCAACTATTCAAGTCCTGTATCCATGTGTTATTTTGTAAATTTTCCCAAAAAAAAAAAATGATGGCACATAAAATTCTTGCTCCCCTACATTTTAGTTGTCGCACAGAAATAGACTCGTCAATATTAGAGACAGCATTTACAACTTGAAATACCTGCATGGAACTTGAATAGTATTCTTTGGCAATAGTTGCCTTTCCTCTACAAAGCTTCATCCTCATTTTCCCAACATGAAGGACGTGGATAGATTCACTTGAAGGATGTGAATCATTCATATGAGTTACAACCACCTGCAAAGTAGCAAGACAATTATACTTACAATCATGGAATCTTATTCATTTTATTTTCATACTAAAATGACGAGAAAGTATATTTAGAAGCAACACTTTACTACAACTAAAACACAGTCATTCTAAATTATAATTATCAGACTTGGGCAACAAGAATGGTTCTTACATCCACGCCATGGTATGGGAGGCTCTATTTCAGTACTGTATCAAAACTATTCAATTAAAACTTATTATCAAGGAGGGTCCTCCAAGGATAATGTTCATAATCCCAATAGTTCCTGTCATGTCGAAGTCTATTTGACTTAGGAGTTGACAAAGTACAAGCTTACAGCTTATCAACATCCAATGAACGCTCCATACAACATTGGAAATTATTGTGATCACATTCTCGCCCGAAAGGATGTGGGATTGTTTAATCCTGCACAATCCTTGAAGGCCGCAACATTTTTATAAAATCTTCTCAAAACATAGCTTTTAGAGACAGAACTGTGTTCTGGCTTCCCAAAACTGTGCATATAGGTTGAGTCTCAACCACCACCAAAAAGGAAAAAGATCCGTTCATCTCCCAATAACATTTTCTTTCTGCACTTCAACTTGTCATTAGACTTGCACTGCCTTCGTTTGCCTGTGCTAGTCTCTTGTTCTGCACTGCTGCTTTCATTCGCTTCTCTTCCATCAAAAGCTTGCAACAATCTCCGTTTTCATTTCTCTATGTGATCTCTAGTCCACTTTATCAGGTTTTAATTTTGCTTGTAGCTGTGTCTTTAAATCAGTTAGTGACAGATTTATTGGCGTTTTTATTGCTGATTTTACCTGTTTAGCAACATTTGCAACTAAAGACTTGTTTTATTGAAGGGGAATATTGACAGGTTTATGCTTACCTAAGAATTTTATGTTACCTTCTACGTCTTAAGTGGTAGAAACTGTGATTTATAACAATATTATATTTATTAAAATTGATGTGTAATCATACATTTATAACCTATAGAGCTGTTAAACAACAGCTTCTCTAAAGTCAGGGGCTTTGAAAAAATGCCATCAATTTAGGATCCAACAGTGGTTTTAGAACACTAACACAGTAAGACTACCAAATGAAGAAAAAAGTAGTTAATAATGAGCTTATAAATTATGCTTCATGCTTGCATACATATAGATTATTACAGAAGAGACAAGAAACTAAGTGTAATGATGACATACATTGAATTCAGTATCATGTTTACGCACAAGTGCCTCAACATAGGTCCCCAAACCAGCAGCTGCATAAGAATACTATATCAAACTCCACTGAAATGGAAACACACCTACGATCTATTTCTATGTTATCAGTTTTGTATAGAACAAAAGATATCAATATTTGAAATCACACCTGTTGATGATGATTAAATTCATTAAGCATGAAACGTAAAAGATTGGAAACAAACCTGGATCAATTGGACCAGTGGTTGACAATGTGATGTTCTGGCTTCCTGAAACAATATCAACTTGTAATACATGTCCAACGTCAAAAGGTTCAGGGGCATAGACTGATTTGGTAGCTCCTGTAAAAGAAAAAGTTGTATCACCTAACATATAAGTGAAAAATTACAAAAGGAATAAACAAATTGTGACAGATTGTATAATAACTCATGCTGCAAAATTACACATCTAGCAAAGGGAGTCACTCAGGTCTCAGGGCATTAGTGCAGTGCAGCACAGAGGTTGTTCATAAATAAGAGAGTTGTATGGCCATTCATATCAGGACTTTATTGGCATAGGGAAGTTATAGAGTAGCACATGAGCCTTTCAAGTGTGTGCGCATCGTTGTCTTTGTTAGATGTCAGAGTCTGTTATGGTACAGGAGGAAAGTTGGGAGGTGACCAACATTCATTATGTTCGGGCTAGTATAGGCATGAAGTAGAGGATGGAGAAAGGTGTAAAGAATTTTATTCTAGTTTTGCGTCCGAGTGTTTTCTATTCCTGGTGAAGTCTTCTTAACAGCATGCTCAAATTCTCATTTGGGATATGACCAATGGTTACCAACCACGCCATACCAGAAGTAGAGGGACGCTTCAAGCAAAAGCCAATTGCCTTACATGCTTAACATAAAGAAAAAATTAACAGGAAAAAATATCCAATTTTCTAAAGTAGAATATATGAAATTATGGCAGATATACCTGAAATAAGTTCCCTTTTAGCACATTCGGACAATATGCGGTACCACTGAATTGAACATTTTGAAAGACCAGGGGCATTCTCGGAGTAGGGTTGAATTTCTAAATATGAACCTAATACTTCAGTCCCTTCTAGTTCATACAAATGGGCAACATTTTCTCCACCCCTCTTTATCCTTCCTAGCTGGACAGTACAATGGAGGATAAGTCAGTGGGGCAAAAAATAAAGGAAGGAAGAAAAACTACAACATGAGAGTAATGAAGCCAAAATAATAATTTTCATCGTTGAATACACCACACCGCATAACACATTGTGTAGAGGTCTTCCGGCGATCACAAATAGTCTTCAAGAAAGAATGGAAAACTTGCAAGTTAACATCATACTATTTGTTTCCCAGTATGATTTTAAAAAAATCACACATAACTAAAACAATTAAATGAAAAAGGAAACAGCCAGATCAAGGTGATTATGGCAAAATAAACAATGCAGGCAATATAACACCTAATGCAATAGTCAAAACGCACAAAATGTATTATCACACACAGAAAATGAATCGAAATTTTCTACAAAACTATAAATCCCACAATGTATTAAATCATAGTTTATCAACAACCCAATAAAACAAAATAAATATTATCCCACCATTACACATGATTGAAACATAACTATGCCCAGAGAGGAAAGATTATGATTAAATACAACATACTGCTTCAGAAACTAAGCCTCCAGCCCTCAACAATTACATAAATCCCATAAAAAATTCATATAAGAATCTCTTCAACATGGACATAAGATTGCAAGGGTACCTCTTTTTGGAGTCGCACATAATGTCTAGACTTCTCTGAAAGTTGAGCCCTCAATGCTAGAAGCTCATGCTCCATATCCATAACCTAAAAGTTAATAGTCAGTGCATTCATTTATTTAATACAACATGATAAAAATCAAGTTAATAATACTATATATGAAGGGCAAGAAAATAAGGGTGAGGAGAGAATCCGACTTCATACAAAGAGGAACCATATTAATTGTGTATAAAATAAAGGAACAATATTGATTATGTACATGACAGAAGTCCTAATTCTGGAACAATGACGGTCCATTTCAACTGTGATGATACATTAGGATTTCTTAAATCTATCTTCTCTACTAAAATAAAGTAAAATTATCTGGAAGAATTGTACTCCAACTCAATGTAGGAGCCATAGATTATGTACAGTCTTCTTCATGAACAAAGAGACAACCAAGGGAGTACATATGCCACTAAGAGAATTTAAAATATTAAAAAAAAAAAAAACAAGGAGTAAAACCTAAAAAGAAGAGATTATGATTCAAATATTCAAATAATAACAATAATCTTCATGATAAATGGATTGAAGGAACAACTGTTTAATACCTTGCTTGGCTGATGCAGCATTTTGATTCTTCGAGCCTCTTGAACCTCCTTCATCAATTGTTCCAGGTCCTAAAGTTCCAACAGAAATAAATTATAATGGAATGAAAATAACATAAGTGATCCACATTTTCTGGATCTAATTAAGTCTTCTACAGGACACCATTACTTTGATGAATACTGGATCTTTTTCCTCATAAAAATAAAGAAAAAAGGAAATTATAGACCATTACAAAGAGGGATAAAAGAGATTTATCCTATTGATATATTTTTTTTTAACTCTTGGGTTTTTTTTTTTTTTTGGTACCTTTATCACAGAGGAAAAGGAGAAAATTTCCCTTAAAGTGTTTACATGACAAATCAAGCTCATTGCATTTGAAATAGCTTGAAAATGCCTGTCCAGAATAAAAACCCTGCTACAATAACATTAAACAAGAATTCCAAAGGTAAACCCCACAATTAATTGGAATCATGAATTATCTTCCAACCTAAAAACAATAGCTCCTAGATTTTAGTCATAAGCAACCCTAGAGTAGCTCCCAATATTTCACTTCTTGATTAATGGATCCAATGCACCTCCAAAGAAACTAAACAAATCTCATCTAATTCAACATAGCATCAATTAAGATGTGGCATCCAGCAAATGGAAAAGAGAAGCCTGGCATTCCTATTTGCCTATCATGAGAGTAGATATTAACATAGTATGTTCGACCTACACAGTGCTTCCATCGAAGCAATAAAGAGAAAGCAACAACATATAAAAAGCTACATCTAAGAAAGCAGAGAAAGAAGCAACACTAGAATAAGAGATGGGGCATAAAAAAGAAAAGAATTCGGAATGAATCAAATCTCCACAAGTAGAATTCGAACCTATGACCAGTTAGTTAACAGCCAACTGCTCTCCAAGAAGAGAGTGTTATATGGTAAACATTGAAATCTCCTTACTCTAAAAATTCAAGCACCATAAATAACAAGAACATGGACTAACCTGCTTCCCTGTGACTTGAGATATTCTCTCATGTTCTTGCAGAGCCTCTTCCACCCTCTGAACTGCTGCCCTGGCATTCTCTATTTCAGCACGAGCAAAAGCCCTTTCCTCATCTACAAGTTTCTTGGCCTCTTCAGAAGCCTGTAAATGAATTTAGACTCTTAGCAATGGAGAAGGAGTAGTTAATGAAAGCAAGTATAGGAGATACAAACTGAAAAGTAATCGTAATTATTTTTTTTTAAAAAAAAAAAAACATATTTCTATTAGTCTAATCTAAATATATAGTAAAATGTAAAGTTCCAACAACTTATATTCCAAGGAACGTAAATTAATAGGCTTCAGCAAGTCTAAGGAGTGTTACATTTCATGGTATTAAATTTATATTGAGACAGATATATGACCTAAAAAGCGGTGAGGACGTCCATTCTGTTCACCGCACTAATATGATTCACAGGCAATGAGAAATATAATCAACAAAAGCCTCTGTATACCAATAGTTCAGGTCACTTTCTATTCATTTCCATAATGACAAATACAAAATGCTGACGAAAGATTGGAGTCTTCCATCACTTTCTACACATCACCTGCTTAAGAAAACTTGCCAGTTTCTTCACCTCTGACTTCTCTTGAATTAATTCCCCTTCCCTTTGAGTCAACTGAACTGCCAGAGCTTCAACCTAATAAAGGCACATAAGAAGTTAAAAGCAGGCATGCTTAGAGAATGGATGAAACACACACGCACTCACAAAAGAGGGGGGCGGGGGTGAGGTATCCATATCTAACCATGGCGATGGCTTCCACTATATCATCCCTGTTTCTACCTGCCACATGTCCTTTTAAGGATTCAAGGGCATCTCTAAGCTTCTTCAAAAGAACATGTTTTTCCAACGATGCTGCTTCTCTAAGTCTAGCCTGAATTTTCAAGTATATCAGCCACAATAAAGGCTATTTTTGGAGATTATAATTAGTTATTATTCAAGAAGTAAAAACATAAAAAAATAAAATGAGGCAAAATGTCTCACATGGGAAGAGACCTACCAAATGTTCAGTATGTTAGCCTCATATGGAAGAATTATAGAAACATCAAAATTATTTCAACCGCTAGAAAGGAAAATAACCTCTTCAGACAACTTAGCTGCAGCAGCCAAACCCTTCTCAAATTTATTGGCGAGATCGCGAACAGATAGACGCTTCTGCTGCTCCAAAAGCTGGGCAGTCTCACGCGCAACGACCTCCTTCATGGATATCATTTTCGGGTCATCCTTCGTCTCAATGATCTGATTGTTAGCTCCAATTCTGTAACTAGGAAACCGACAAGTGGCAAACACCACATCAGCTGAAACTGTAGGCAAAGCCCCCTTTTGCATTGTATCACCAAAGTCACGTGTAATTCTCGTCATCGTTTCAGGCTATTTACTCTGCAGTCGCAAAGATTGAACATGTCACAAATCCGTAAAGCAGGCTAAACGATTTTGCAATCATACATTGTGAGAAATACTTAAACTGAACAATGTATTGAGCAAAACGTACCGCACCAAAATCATAGACCAGTAGATCACTACATTACACCCAATGAGCTGATTGAAGTCAAAGAAAATAACGAGAGCGGAGTTGAGACAATGAAACTAAACCCTAATTCGTCGTGCATTTACTTCTTATCTACTTTGTAGGTTTGAGTAGAGACATTCAAGATAAAGCTATCAAAAAAGACAAAAAGGCAAGCTTGAACTTACAGAGAATTTAATGGGTACTTAGGATTGAGATTCTCGGATCAGATGCAAAGGCGAGCCTCCAGATGGGTTATTCAAAAACAGGGCTGTGATCCGAAAATAATGCCTTTAGATTGAGGAAGATGGGTTCTTTTGGAAAAGAAAAGAGAACAAGACTTTGTTTTGCTATCTGTTTGGTGCTGACTGGCTACTGTGGCGTCACGCTCATGCTTGAAACTTGAAACTCTTGAGCGGGTCCTCAGCAAACGTTCGGTGTTGACTATATGTGCAGTTTAAGATCATTTTTTTAAATCTTCTTTAGCGATTAGCGATTTAAAAATCAAATTAGAGTCATCCTGTACCTCACAAAATTCGAAATGAACGGGTCCCCCTGTTGACCAAGTTTTTTTTTGAAAAAAAGGTCTCGGAATTTCTCACATGACGAGCACTTCATAAATTTTTAATCTTGTATTTATCATTATGGTAAGATCTGACCAGTTTAAATTAGACTTAGATAGTGTAAATTGGAAATATTTAATGAGAAATTCCAATAAAATGCCACTTAAATTTTAAAATATAAAAAATGTGATACTAATATGTGAAATGACATTGGTGATAGATTATCAAACTGACGTTTCAATAATTGGGATAAAAGACAAAACTATATCTTATGATTTTCTTTTTCTTTTTTTTTCCCTCCTTAGATGCTAATCTAAGCACCTGATTAGAGGATGGCCACCGAAGCTCTAATGCCAACGGCCCCTCTAGCGGCTAGTTATCCGAGCTCTAATGACTCCTCTTTTAAAAATATTAACTATTCTTGTTAAAATATTAACTATTTTTTTGCTTCTAGAGTTTTGATAACTACTCGTATCTAGGGGTTTAAATTTAGAAATTTTGGTTAAAAGTTTTTTTTTTGACAAATTAATTGGAGAATATGACTAAAATAAATGTAAAGATATGGGCTCCTCAAATGGTAGCAAGTGTAGTAGGAAAAAGACCACATTATCCTGATAGATGCTCATTGCATATAACAGATCCTCACTTGCATATCATGAATCCTAATTGCATCTGGTAGGTGCCTAACTCCATATGAAATATTATTATATATTATAGATCCTAATTGCATATCATTGATCCAAACTTATATATTGCGGATACTTAGTTGCATACAATATCTTATTACATATTATAGATCCTAATTATATATAATTGATCCAAAATTGCATATTGGTGATTCCTATAGCATATCATTGATCCAAATTTACATTAACAAATTCTTTTGTGTTGTACTCAAACAAACTCTTATATACATCTACAAAGTAATATGATGGACGTGGGATCCATCATACACAATTAGTATTTGTAGATAATAATTTGTTATGTAAATAGTAACATATAT